GATACTAGTGCAGCGCTCTACCAATTGAGCTAACAAGCCAACTGGGAGCAGGCCGTTAAGTTGATTCGTAATAAACCCGTGATGATAAATCAGATACGATGAATAAATGAAGTTCATATATTTTGAATTGCGGTTATAGATACGTATGACCTGCGAGGATCGTGCATCATACGTATCTATAACCGCAGTTCAAAATATATGAACTTCATATATTCATCGTATCCGATTTCTTCTTACAATACAAACCCTGAATCAATCATTAAAATCACGAGAATAAAGGATGATCACGAACTAGAAAAGCTCTTGATTATTAAACAGATTCTTTATGTCAGCACCATATGAAATGTACAGAGAACAGTATGGAGAATATGCATATTGACATCAGGATGTACAGGACTAATCGAAGAATTTGGCCGAGAGGTCCACATCATAACTAAAGTGCGGAGGTTTGTCTTTCCGTTCTTGAATTTTGGCAAATTTTTTAAGTTGACATCGACGAACTTCACCGATAAAGTCCTTTTTCTTTTCCATGAGAAGCTTTTCAAAGCACTTTTACAAAAAAAGTCTTTCGATACTATATATCTAAAGAATTACTCTTGTGACCTGTAAGCACACAAAGACCCACAGAGACGCTCTAATATGTCAACTGAATTGTGGGAAGGCACACCAACAAACTAAAGTAGTTTTTTTGGTTGAGAACCTACGATATCTAAAACGGCAACCAATCTAGGCTCCCATTTCATGTTTATTTGAACCACATTGCTACTTAACTCAAACGAATAACAATAAAATTTATTTGAGAGGCTTTGGTCTGGGGGAGAAAGGGTAAGGGAAGGAGGACTGGGGACGAACTTGAAGCTCTTGAGGGAGATAAATAGTTAAGGGACCCTAATAACAAACAATGCTCTGCATTATTACCATTGTCGATCTGTACAGCACTTTTCCTGTCGTAGTTCAAGGCTCTTTGAAGCTCTGGCGTCCAACCAGTTGAGTCCATTTCGGAGAATTTGCCCTGAAAAAACGTAAATACGTGGTTTTAGGGATTTTTGAGAAAGTTTTAATATGGGATATGCTTGCTGTTTTTTTTGCAAAGGGCATAGAGCGGAGAAAAAGCGATCGGAGCATGATCTCAACAATCTTGTTGGATGTCGTTGTCTTAGCCACTCAGATGAGATGACCTTCCCGCCATTCAGTTACAAAAAAACCGTCAATAAATAATTGATATTGTTAAGGTGAGATGCATACTTTCCATCTCAAATGGCTCCAAGGATTTTTGAGTTGAAGAAGACGATGTCCCTGCAGATAAAAAAAAGAAAAGTTAAAACTTGATATTCGAGAAATGCTCAAGATGTAAATAATTCGCTCTGAAAACAAATCATATGCTTTTTTTATACAGGCACACTTATTTGACAGACCTTAATTAAAAGGCCTCTCTAAAGGAGAAGTCCGTACTAGAGTAAAATTTCTGCTAAAAACTTTACAATTTTCTTGACTATTGTCCTTCTCAAGTTATCTCCACTACCAAAATTCGTGCTTGGCAATTTTTCCGCGACGTTTCCAGTGTTGCATGACAAATTTAAAGGAAAACCAACGTGGTCTACGCTCTACAATGGCAGGGAATACTGTGCTATCTGTAAGGAAAAAGGAACGCAGGCATACCATGATTTTCCTGATGTCTAACAATGCATAAGCATGAGTAGGCACCAGTCCTGCTCGGTCAGCCTCGCTCTCGCTCATTGGGCCTGTTGCTACCGTGACGAGACAGTCACCTGAAAGACAAATGAATGTGTGATTGATTAGATCTTTTTCTACTACGTCAGATGTAAAAACAAAAAAACAAAACAAAACAAAACAAAAACAAAAAAAATCAGCCTTGTTACAATCGTTTGCATCTCTTCAGTATCTAACACTGAAACCCTAATCTTCTGACAGTTGAGAGGAGTTTGGGTCAGCCTGACACAGTTTTGATCTGGATGTCTACTTGGTAGGATTTGAGGTAACAAATTAGTATTTTCTCACGGCTTCAAGGTTTGAGGTGCAGGTGGGAAACTCGTGACCACAAACAGATTGGCCTAAAAATGACAATTTCTCATCTGTGCAAACCTCACTACCGGAAATTGAGATAAAAATAAATCCGGCGATCAGACTGACAAATTTCAGGTTTGGTTCATAACAAACGATTAATCCAATTTAGCCCATATGGCCTTTTTTGCCTTTTCTATCACTTATTCCAGTTCCTCTCCAATTCTGTGCCATCACTGTAATGGCCATTTGAAACTTCGTCAAAGTTACACGACCTAACCGCCTTTACTGCCAAGAAAAAGCGGTCATTGTTTCCTCCATTTTACACGTCATACTAAGATTTCTACCAGCAGATAAGAATAGAAGCCGTACCTCTTCTTACTCCATTCAAGAGACGATCGAAATGCATACTCTCATTAAATGTTGGATTGTTTCGTTTTATCGACATCCTCTCTGGAATCCAGCCTGTGAGGGCGTGCAGATCAATACTCTGAAACGAAAAACAAAAATCAAAACTTAAGCAAAAAAATTCCTTTCTCTGCACTTCATTCGATTACCAAACTCAGTGTTACCTAATCCTAAGCTCAATAGTTCTGTTTTAAATCCAGGGCAAGAGTGAATCCTTTGATGCGAAACTGTTTTCTACTTCTCCTCACATGAAATCAAACTCATTTTCACATGACTGGGTTTGTTCTTGGTCTCTTTTTGAAACTGAGGGCTTTCTAAACTCCGAACGTTTGCAAGCGTGGAGTGATTTGTCCAACAGCAGAACACGATAACAGATCAGGGCTCTACCCGGGACCTCTCAACTCGGATTCCAGCGTCAAGAGCACTATGTAGAAAATTTACTTACGGAGTTCGAACCTGGAAAATCATATCCTCCCATCACCTGTGGAAAAGATAAAAAAAAAAAAACAACGAACAAAAGACAAAAACAGGTATATTATCAAAATCATCAATCACGCAGATCGCTTTTAACAAGCGCAATATATTATATTTTACATCCCCCCAACCTTCTCCGGGAGAATATACACTATACATGTGCAGTCTTTTGTAGGATCATCAAAAGTCCATTAAAAAGATTTACAACCCCGAGGTGGGTGGGTAGCTGGGATTTTACGGTAGTGAATTTGAAAATTTGAAGCAATCACAGAAAACATAAATTAGCTTTTGTAAGGGAAATCACTTTACCTTAAGATAAGCCTTTTCAATTAGACTGACCCACATTTCATTGCGATTGTTGGAGTAGGAACAGAGCAGTTCTCCATCTCTTCCCACTGGTAGGGTGTCATCAATAATCACCTAGGAGAAAAAGGGGAAAAAACTCAAAACTTGAATATTAAATATGTGAAAATGGAACTTAGTCATTGAATAAAGACGGGTGTTATTTGTTTCTTCACGAGCGTAAAATAGAAAAAAAATATGTGATAGCGTCGGGAATTCTACCGCATACCCTCAGATTAAAGGGTCCTACGCTTTACCTCTGAACTACTGAGACCAGAGTTTGAATTTCATCCTCTCTCTCTTTTCTTGGACACGATGCTTTCGACATTGCTGATTCTAGGTTGTCACAACGATTCTAAAAGGTATTGCACCGGATCAGGAAACACGACGAATCGGAGTTCTCTTTTTATCTCACGGTTGCAATGCAACAAGTAACAACTTTTTTCAGTAACAAATCTTACACCAAAATCTGTAGCAACACGTCAACTGTAGCCAATGACCTATAAACGATCAACAGAGCACTGAATTTTCGCATGAAATTAAAAATGAAAATAATGTTTGGATTGTCAAAGATAGCTAAACACATATACCGTAAGTAGTTTACCTTTCTTGAGACCCCATTGATTCGCAGTTTGATCATGTACTTTCCAGATGGATTAATAACTGGTTTTCCACCGCGATTTTGTGGATAAATGATACTGTTTGGAACAAGAATACAAACACTCAGTTCAACTACCATAGAGAAACGTACAACACCAGCCAAAATTCTCTCATAATTATCATTAAAATTGTAACCCCGATACATTTAAAAATATTTTCGCCCACTGCACATGCTCTGACGAAGGGCTAACGCTCGAAACGTCAGCTTTTTTACTCGTTACGGTGGCCAATTTACTATTTCAACTCAGTTGATATAACCAAATTACCTTGTTACCCCCACCGACGCAGCACCACAGTTTCTTTAGAAACTTTCAGCCTTTATGCAAATGCAAAGAATGCTTTTCGATTGAATATTGTGAAAGCAAAACCAAAGCTATCATAACAGCCAATCAGAACGAAGAGAGCCAATGAGAACTCGGGAAAATAAACGAAACCGCAGGAAACGCGAATCATAAAATGGAAGTGAGGCTCCATTGTTGTATCTGATTGGTAGGGAGAGTGGCGCAAGAATTCTGGACAAATCATAGACAGAAATAAGATCAGTGTAATCTCGGACCACTGATACAGTTTTCGTAGCACTACTCTTAGCATGTGCGAAAGAACTTAAGTCAATCGAGTTCAATTCTTTCTAGAGCCTGTTCACGGGTTGTTCTATGTTACAAATGGCACAATCATCAACTTCAACACATTTGTGAAGTTGATTCACCGACCGCTATATTTAAATCTTGTACACCTACAATGTGACAAAAACAAAAAGGAAGACGCACCCAAGAGGGCTTTGTCTGAAAGATTTTTTGTTATGAAGCATTGCTTATGGCGAGCAAGACTGGAAAGCTTGAAAGATAATCGAATTTTAAACCAAACAGACTATAATTATCCTGTTTCATCTTCTCTCCGTCCATTGTCATCTGTGATATAACCAAAACCAAACCGGCCCGCTCAATGAGCGATCACAAGTTTGTAACGCCATCTCGCCTTCCATAGCCCTTTCATTCCCAAGAACTCATTATCGATTCTCCTTACTGGCTGCCATACAAATTTTATGATATAACTTCGGAGAATTTGGATCAACTAATAATACCCCGGAAAAAACTTTTTTATCATTCGCATCACGTTTCTGCTTGTTATCATATAAGGGGCAAAATTACTCAAGACAGAGGGCATTTTTTCTTAATTTTTGTAATTGCCTCGGGCAAAATTACTTGTTAATGATTGGCTGAAAATCGCTTAGCAACGGCTGCCAAGGTAAAGAAATTTCTGTTTGTTTTGTAACAATGGCGTCCCGTTTTGCTCGAGATCAGTAAGAAAACATTTTGCCCCTGATATTATAAACAAGTAATCACATGGTTCCTCGTAAAATTAAGGATTAATATCACTTGTGTTTTCGGAAGTTGCAGAAATTACCCTCGTCGCTGCGCGACTCGGGCAATTTCAGCCACTTCCGAAAACACGCGTGATATCAATCCTTAATTTTACTCGGCCTCATGCGATTACCTATACATATTGCATTGATATTGTTAGGAGATGTTCTGTCTTGGTCACTGATGGGCACCTGCACGACAGACTATGACACCTTAAAATTGCAGAATTACCTAGTAATAAGAGTCTTTTTAAAGTTTCTCTCGTAAGCAGCACTGATTGCCAGCGACGCCAGAAAAGAGCAGTCTGACACAATAGTCTGTGAAAAGAGAAAGAAAGTGTTTTTGCACACAATATGTTTGAATATCGAGACTGTTCCCCTAGTTAAAGGGGAACTGAACCCTAAAAATGAACCATTTTTAAATTGCAGCTTATAGTTCATATAGCAATATTCTAAGGTTTATTTCAGTCTTTGGGCCCAACTTCGCCTCGGAAAAATAGTTTAAAGTGGTAATTTGGCCTCGTAGCACGGCGGCTCAGAAAAGCGATGTCAGCGGTAATTTTAGCTCGCTCTTACGTCACTGGTGACGTGGAAGAAAGATAATAAACCCGTATTCTTCAGGTCATGAATGCAAACAACATACCAATTTTAGGCTTCAGTTCCCCTTTAATAAAAAACAACAACAACAACAAAATTCTCGATTGAGGTTAGTTAACGGCGGTGTAATGGGAATAGTGGGAATGGGTATGAGGATGGGAATTTAGCAGCAGATATTACACGAGGTGATTCTTCTTGTCCATTGTTTCCACTCGAAGTTGGATTGCTGTTTTCTGCTGAGGGAACAAAACTGGAGAAACCGGAGAAAAATCCTCCGAGCAAGGACAAGAACCAACAACAAACTCAAACACCACATGTGACGCCAGTCTCAGGAATCGAACCCGGGCCACAGGGGTGGGAGGCGAGCACTTTCAATACTATCGCACCCATACTCCCCAATAGAACAGTAAGCGTCATTTCCTCTAGCTGTTGTATAGATTATTGGGTTCAATTTTTCGGGGTAGAAGTCAAATGTTATTTTTTTGGAAATTAGTTATGAACATGTTCAAACGTTGGGTATTGGTTTGTTCTATTATTTTATAATATTTTCATGGTTTCCCTTCACGATAGCAGGACTGTATTTCGTCCAATTCTGGGTGTAATTAAATAATTTGGATACATCAACAAAGTTGAAAAGGTAAATTGGCCACCGTAACGATTTTTCGCTCCAACGAAGGGCTAACGCTCGAAACGTCAGCTTTTGTAATCGTTACGGTGGTCAATTTACCATTTCAACTTTGTTGATATATCCAAATTATTTCGTTACCCCCACCGACGCAGCCCCAAACAGTTTCTTTCGAAACTATCAGCCTT